TTACTCTGAACAAGATTTGGTTAATGTTAGTCTTTAAAGTTTAGAGTATAGCAATAGCATAACAATTGTTCTTACGAATGTCATCTTATCAAAGAGTCTTAGGAATTGATATAAAGATGCGTGTTGGTAAATCATTAAACTTGACATGTTTGTTGATATATAAAGCATGAATATGAGTACACATATAGAATGCGCAGTAGTAGGTGTCGTATCTCAGATAATAGTAGTTGTAATAAGAACAAAGACGGGCTTCCACAACATCTGAAAAAAAAAACAGAAGTTAATCATGCATAATCTCATAATTTCAGTTTTTTATGTCAATAATGCATACGAGGAAAATGTCCTTCGTTGTTCGGTTTTTTTTTTCAATATATACATACACTCTAGTATACTGTACACTGTGGCTCGAAGAGGGTTATGCCGAAACATGTCTGAAATACTGCTCGGCGAAAACCATAATCAATTACTCAGTAGTAATTGATATTTAAAAACTTTAATCAATAACTATTAAGTTTAAATACCTCAGAAAATTCTTTTGTGTCTTCGATTGATTTAAAATGTTAACTAAATTCATTACTTTGTAATAATTCTGAGAAGCAAAAAGGGAGATATTTTCATTTGCCGCCAGTCCGCAAAAATTAAAGGTCTTGCCATATTTCAAACTCGGTTAACCAATTATATCAAAATTGTACATTTATGAGAAGGAAAGGAAAATATGATCTTTTAAATTCCTAACATCTAAATATAAGACATTTCAGCCAAAAATATTCATTCAAAATCAGACAAGAATCCCTCCTTAAATAGCAGTGAACTTGAAAAGAAAGAATCCTTTTCATAATGAAGAATGTTTAGATATCATCTCAACGCACACCAAACATAAAGCTCCTTTACCCCAGACATTACGTAACACAGGTATAAACGAGGCAAGGGTTGTGTACATTCTAAAAAAAGTATATCAACCATTAACTTTAAACGTTCAAAAATTTTAAAAGAAAATTTAAATCTCAACTCTATGGCCACATTCCAGAGACAAATATATTACACTTGAAAAAAATTAAAACGAAACTAGTTCTAATTGTAACGAAGAGCGTTACAGATGTTCCACAAACACTCCCCTTACTCTCTTTTGGGCCCCATTCCCTATAAGCTTCATTAAAGTAGGATCTTTGTTTCATAGGCTTTTATAACTTATTTTCCAAAGTATTTTGGGGGAAATATCAATACACACATAACACAATGAGCATAAGCAAAACAGATTTAAGTACACGTGCATGCACATGATTTCAAAAATTACCATATACATGTCCATCATCCCATAGAATGCCATTATAAAAAGCTCCATTGTAGATTTCAAAGAATTTCACTGAAAACGTAGAAAGTTATTAACCAAACAGAAATCAGCGCAACGCATGCATATCCTCGTATGCATTTCTGATGATATCATAATGTAGAAACTTGTATTATTTATATACTCAGAATTTCGTCTTCTTTCGTCAACAATTAAGAAAATTATAAATACTAGCAACCTTAGCCAGAAAGATTACAGCACACGTACTTGCACATATTTTCTAGACTTCTCACATATATATTCTTATAGTGCCTTATAATATATATACCAATGTCTTAAATTTCTAAGATTATGTTGAATAGTAAGAGAGATACAAGCTATACCGTGTTAGCCAATCAGATTTCAGCACACGTGCATGTATGTCCTTCAATTTTTATAATAGCTGGATGTAGGAACCCATTATACCTATCTATATTCTAAATTTCATCCAGTTTTATTGAAAACTAAAGAAGTTACAGCCATTTAAAATTTCAGCCAATCAAATTGCAGCACACGTGCTTGTAGGTGTTTTCAAGAATTTCCATATAAAATATATTTTAGAACCTTATAATATATACCTTTATCTTAAATTTCAATAATTCATCAAGTCCGTTTTGTAGAGGGCCCCAAGATACCACTACACAACCTTTCTGATAGCGGAAATGATAGTCCTTGGGACCCTCTACCTTGCCCCAGTAATGATTTGAAGCACACTTCAAAGATAAGGGGTATAATAGTTGACCTTTAACCTGTATATCAAGACAATGTAAAAAAACAAAAAAGTTCAGGTTAGCTAACTGGCCCCTTTCCTTCCCCGGGACCCTTTATAAAGCTGACAAGTGATTGTTCCTAAGGTCCTTAACCTTTCACTAGTGTTATTTTGTTCTAGTAGTCAAAGATGGTTTCAAAATAAATGCTTGAAATACGTCCCCCACCCTTGGCACCACTTAGTGTTACCACTACAGCCCCATTCCGATAACGGGAAATGATAGTCCTGGGGGCCCTCTACCTTACCCCAATAATAATTTGAAGCACACTTCAAAGATAAGGGGTATAATAGCTGACCTTTAACCAGTATATCAATACAAAATGTGAAAAACAAAAAAGTTCAGGTTAGCTAACTGGTCCCTTCCTTTTCTCGGGACCCTTCAAAAAGCTGCCAAGGGATTCACCCTAAGGTCCTTAACCTTTCACTAGTGTTTGTTTGTTCTAGTAGCCAAAGATGGTTTCAAAATGATGCTTGAAATACGTCCCCCACCCTTGACACCACTTGGTGGTACCACTACAGCCCCATACTGAAAGCCGGGAATTATAGTCCCGGGGGCCCTATACCTTACCCCAGTAATGATTTGAAGCACACTTCAAAGATAAGGGGTATAATAGCTGACTTTTAACCCGTATATAAATGTGAAATGCAACAAAGTTCAGGTTAGATTACTGGCCCTTTCCCTTCCCCGGGACCCTTCAAAAGCTGCCAAGGGATTCACCCTAAGGTCCTTAACTTTTCACTAGTGTTAGTTTGTTCTAGTAGCCAAAGATGGTTTCAAAATGAATGCTTGAAATACCACCCCCACCCTTGACACCACTTGGTAGTACCACTACAGCCCCATTCTGATAGCGGAAATGATAGTTCTGGGGGTCCTCTACCTTGCCCCTGTAATGATTTGAAGCACACTTCAAAGATAAGGAGTATAATAGCTGACCTTTAACCCGTAAATAAATAAAGTAAAAAACACCAAAGTTCAGGTTACCTAACTGTCCCTTCCAGTCATTGGAACCCTTCAAAAAATTGAAAAGGGATACTCCCTAAGGTCCTTAACATTTTACCAGTGTTAGTTTGTTCTAGTGGTCAATGATGGTTGAAAAATGAATGCTTGAAATATATTCCCCACCCTTGGCACCACTTGATAGACCCACTACAGCCCTATTCCGATTGTGGGAAATGATAGTCCTAGAAATCTCCTATCCTGGCACAGTAATGATTTTAAGCACACTTCTAAGATAAGAGGTGTAATAGCTGCTTCAAAATATGTAACCCGCCCATGGCACCACTTGGTGGTACCACTTCAGCCTAATTTTTATGGCCGTATATAATAGCACTATGGACCCTTTACCTTGTACCAGTAATTGTTCAAAACACACTTTAAGGATAATAGCTTAAAATAGATTAAATTACCTTCAAACTCTATATCAATCTACAATAGGAGTGAGGAAATTTAAGGTTAGCTTATTGGCCCCTTCATGTTCCTGAGACCCGTCAAAGACCTTAAAAGGGATTCTCCCGGAAGTACTTAACCTATTTCCAATGTTGGTTTGTTCTTACGCGGTGACATTTTCTTTTCTTTTTTCTTGTTTGTTTGTTTTGAAGCCGCATAATTTTCCTTATGCAGTTGAGCTTTACTGCCTCCGAGTATTTGACTTATTAAGTAATTAAATGTTATATTCATTATCTAATTATTAATTATTAATTGTTGAAAATAAAGTATTAAACAGTATTGCATCAGAGTACTCTCAGTCCTTTGATGAATTTTCTTATTGGCTGCTACCTTCTACGGGCTTAAATGGCTGTTGTTAGTGGCTGCTACCTTCAGTCTAGTCAAGTTAAATACAGATATAGACTTATTTGTGATTTAACAAATTACAATACTGAATTAAGTCGATAAAAATTTGAAAGAAAGAAAATATTATTTGTGATCGGTTTTGGAACGGACGTGATGAATTATTGAAATCTACAGGAAGGACAATTGCAACTAATGCATATAAATGTGTTGTCAAGGCTCAAAAAAGAGGAGAGCCATAATCTCCTTACGTATAAATGTGCTGTATTTATGCTCTTGATAATTTATTTGTACTTGACTTAAAATGAACTATATTTTGCTCAAAATTTTACTTTCAACTTCCCACTAGTGAGCACGGAGCATCAAACATTATCTGTGTAACGAAAAAGGCATATGTTTATGCGCTGTTTGAGTAACGTTAACTTTCTCTCACGTATAATGCATTTCATAATTTAAAAAAATCTTTAAATTAATCATCAACGTATTATATTCCATGATATCAACAAATTTATTTAAATTTACAGAGGACTGGTGTCAAGCTTACAAAGTGTACCCTTAGGTTTGTTGTTCCGGCAGAAGTTTTAACATCTCTGTTAAAAAAAAACGAAAACAAAAAAGGTAGAACCTTCCACTGCACAGTAGAGCTAAGGTAAACAATCGGAATTTCGGTAAAATTTTTGCGATAAAAAATACATTCTTGATCAGGAAGGGCTATTCCGTCTAGAGCTTAGCCAACATTTTACAAATTTAATAGTCACCAGCCTGGCGCAGTGGTTAGAACGTCTGCTCTAGAGTCGCGGTGTAAGGAGTTGATCCTTGCGTCGCGGTTTCGAATCCCACTGTAGGACGTGGAACCGGTCCTTCGGATGAGACCGTATAAACCGAGGTCCCGTGTCGCAGTAGGTGCTGGCACGAAAAAGATCCCTCACTGCTCAATGGCCGTAAGTGCCGAGTATAGGACAAAATTTGCTGCTCTCCACCGGCAAGTGGTGGCGTCTCCATATGAGTGAAAAATTCTCGAGAGGTACGTTAAACAACATACAAAAAAAAAACAAATTTAATACGAATAAAAACAACTTGTTGAGAATGATTAGATTTTATATTTAACTCCATCATTTAAAGGTGTTGAAAACAACATTATTTTACTCATTTTGAAAGTCTTGACAGAAGCGTTCGCTGGTCACTCGTTCCCTTGCTGGACGGTTCCTGATGGATTTGCTCCAGTACCGGGATTTGTTTGGAAATTTACAGATGTTGAATGTTGACCTTGTGAACCCCCATAATGTGTCTGTGCCATCATGATATGAGGGGTTTGAATGCCCTGGGTACCAGCTATTGCAGGATGTTGGATCTGTTGATTTTCAGACGGATATGTAAGAGGGTTATCTGTTTCAAGAAAAAAATGAACTAATTGTTTAAAGAATCAGACTTAAACATAATTAATGGAGATATTTTTTTTTCAAAACAAATTAGTTTTTTTTTTTTTTGAGGGAGGTTTGAAAAGGTAGATTCACCCTTACAAAATACACTCTTGTTCATCACTAAGAATGGCCCCGAAAAGTCAATTCATGACTCAACTATAGGCAAAAGAATTAATTCAAGTTTGAATATTTACATTCCACATGTACTTTGCTTATTAAGTCTGTTGAAAGCTACAGCAATCAAAACACCATAACATGGACAGGTAGGTAAAAAAAATTAAAGTAAGATATTATTATGTCATCACAAACGATGAACTCCGTGCAAGTGCAACCTTATAATGGAAATATCAAAATCACGCTCACATTGAACAGTTTAACGGTAGTATCTGTTTCATGGGCTCTTCCATTAATTGTCACTTAAATGAAGGATAATATAGGGATTTTGAAATATAACTCACATTTGCCGACAAGGCGGGGAGTTAAAAAAATGTAAATATAAGCATCAGGGACCTATATACTAACGGGATAGGCAGCTTTTTCAGCGCCATGTTTATTTACAAAAAAGTCATCCACAACAGTACACGTTTTTCAAACTACGTTTATTCCCAGTAAAAATCTTGTTTACTGATTAATGTAATTTGTTCTTTTTATGTATTGGAATGTACTTTTAATAAATTTTAAAGTATATATTATAATTTAGATATAAAGGAAACAAGCACCGAAATCGGCGAATTCTCGGAAATACGGCAGATCAGGGGCATGTGCTGATTTTGAAATAAACGCAATTACTACTGAGATTAGGGATTTAAACAGTGCTTAAAACAAATCTTGAATAAATTTTGATAGATAAATTAAGGTCTTGATCTGAAATATTAAATAGCATTAGAGATATATTTAATTAAAATTGACTTACGAAATCCCGACTTACGAGACTTCAAGTTTCAAGTTTTTATTTAAGACAAAGACCCCAACTGGGGTATATGAATGCAAATGATACAACAAAATAACATACAAGCATGAAATGAGTGGCACTAATGTTAATTACTATATACATGTATAGTTCAAAACATCAAAGTATAGAAGGCCTCTGCTAGTATTAAATAAATCATTACAACATATTTTAAACAGTTATTTTGTTATTATTAATTTATTACTGACAATACAATTTTACAAAAAATTGGCAATCCAAAAATGACTTTAGGGTCCTTACAATTTAACAGGTCATGAAATTTAATAACATTAGGACTTCGCGAGACTTGTGAGAGTGGCCTATCCCGTTAGTATATAGGTCCCTGTCATCATTTAATTATTTTTTTTTTTGAAGGATGTATTCTTATAAGTGCAACTGTGTATGCAAAAAAAAAAAAAAAAAATCATACTGTTGCAGTTATGTGTCTACATTTTTCAAAAAATAACATTGCAGTGCTTAGATAAACAATCTAATCAGGGGTTCAAAAATTTGGGCCGAACATGAATTCTGAAATCTTGCACAATAGAGTGATCTTGTCCTTCAGTTATGACTTTGAATATATATATAATTATATAATTATATAATTATATATATATATATATATATATATATATATATATATATATATATATATATATATGATTTACCGACAAAAATATACTGAAGTTTGAAAATATACTTATCAAGTTTTCTAGACATATAATTAAGACAACATTTTCTCCATGATTTCATTTTACACTGGTCTTCATCTCTGATATGTGACTTTGATTCAAAATCAGGACATTCAGCTAATATAAATTGATATACCCAAGTTTGAACTCATTCCAATCAGGGTACTTAAGGCTATTAGTAGTGAGTAGTTTAACTTAATCTTTTATGTCCGAATACATCCTTCTGCATCCTTTAGAAATTCTTATATCAGGATCTATAAAAGTCTCCAGAGCATTTATTACTTTAAGTTCGACATACACCCAAAACTTCTAAATATTGCCAAGATTTTTAGGAACCGGACCCATCAGCTGATTTGTCCAACTTAAAATTCTGCTTTTCCCCCAACACTTTCCAAAAATCTAGCCTGTAGCCCTTCACTCTAGCACAAAAAGTGGATAAAAAATGTTGATGAGCGTCTCTAATACTTCCTTTTGGCACCTGTCTGGTTACAACTTTTTGATAATTAATTCTTAACCTTTTAAGAGTTGACTGAGTTGTCGATGCTGATCGGTTAAAAATTAATTCAAATACATATGCTGATTGGTTGATTTCAGACGTATATCAGTCTTTTTATCCTTACAATTTGATGTCAAAAAACTTTGCGACCTATATTAGAGAGTATTGCAGTGTATTTTTCATAACCCTGGAAATGAGATTCCTCGTATTAAAAAGAAACATATCTAATTAGGTATACCATGACAAGGTAATACTTTACTTGTTCCTGGGACCGTTTGAACGATTAACGTTCCTTGAGTCCATTGCCTGTTTTTCTTTTGGATACAACAGCAGCAGACGATAAAGCTTACAAGAATGCCGAGTCCGATCACAGCTCCATAGGAAGCACCAAGTATTATCAAATATGGACTAAACATAATGCAAGAAAATAATTTTTCCCAGTGCAATACTTATTGAACATTTTGTGTCTGTTCATGTTTTTTTTTATTCATAGAGAAAACAATTATAGCACTTTTTATAGCATTACAGTTTAATTTATTTCATGATTTCTCTTTTTTTATATACGATTAAGAAATGAAATTTTTCTGCATTCTCTATCTTATAGATATAGAAATTTTACTTTTAGATTATACCATCTCTTACTTGTTGTAGCAATATCGAATGTAAGTATAGCCATTGTAGTAGTAATAACAGGAAGCGTCAACGTTCTCTAAAAAGTAATGGACACAAAATGATATATTTATCTTATTTACCATTTAAGTTATGCAAAATACATATACAAGTAATAAGAGACAGAAAATTCTCTCTTAAAACAACTTCAATATACACCATCTTGCTTCTTCCGAATAAGTTTCGAAGTTTCAACCAAACGAAACAGGTACATTCCAGATAAATTTATATGTTTGCAAAATAATTTATTGAAGCTGTCTGAAACGGAAACTGTTTTGATATAATGAACATTACAGATTAAGATACACTACAACTACTTTCTGAAAGTGTATGGGTTTTTTTCAGGAATTTTCATAGAACTTTATACTTCTTTCAAATCTATATAATTTTTTTCTGTTTCGAAGGATGGAATGCTAATTGGATTTTTTTTTTAAATCATGAAACAACCTATGCTTTTTACTTCGACAATTAAAATGTTTCTTCATATTGTTATAAATACAAATAAAATCTCTCAGGGTCTTTTAGAAAAATGAGCTCAATTAAAGGATAACAACTGTTTGACTTGCTTTAAAAGACACATACATGTATCTGACATAACATATACTCACTGAACACTGCTAACAAGAACAAAGTACTTAGTATCAGTTTGATGTATTCCACCATGTTGTTTTGCTTTGCACTTTGTGACACTACCTTAAATGTTGTTGGAATGTGGCGGAACTTTAAATCCAGTATCAATTATGAAGAAAATGCCTTGCGTTTCGTCGATCCTTTTTGAAAATAATCTGCGGTACCGTCATGTAAATAATGTTATCTCAATCAGAAAAATATTCATTTATTTAAAAATGTCATGGTTATATAGTTTTTTTTTTAAATTCTAAAAACTTGCATAGTGGCTTAAATTAATAGAATGGTTAACTACATTAAGATAATGAGTATCGAGCGTATCTACAGAAGGGAAAAAATCATTCATCAGATTTCAAGCTTAAAACACATGAAAATTTATTGACCAATGAAAAAAAAACAACAATTCAGCCTATACTTCATGTCGTGGTTTGTTTAAAACTGTCTTTTAATGTAATCTGTTTTAGAAACTTTAACACATATGTCTTTGTTCTGGCCCAAAGTTTAAAATAATACTAAGTTATATCTGAGTAAAAGATTAAGAAAAAAATATTGTCATTGCTTTTCCTCATTTAATAAAAGGGCCTCGTCACAAATCTTTTTGTCTTTACACATTTCACACCCCTTCACTATGAAATACACACGAGAGGAATAAAAACATAAAAACATAAAATTTTCGCCAACTCAGATTTTTATTCGTCTCTCTTTTTTAAACCATGGCCCATGGAAATGGGCCATGGTTTTTAAGAATGCTTGCAAACCGCATGAGTTCAATATGGCGCTAGGTCGTTTATGCAATATTGTCCCCTATATGCTTGTCAACCAGGATCTCTATATGCCTTCATAAGTGAGAGGTTATAGACAACGGAGAATAAATCTTGCAGTTCTCTGCACTTAGTCAGAGTAACCAATAAACGTAAAATACTCCTGGAGGAATTTATCAGTGTTCCTTTTAATTCTCCTTTGCCAATGTTTTACTTCCACGGGTTATGGGGAGTAGCCTGTGTTACACATTATGTATAATTGCAAGAGAAGATTTTGGCTACTGAAATGATGTGCCTCTGTTTCTTGCATTTATACCCCCCGTACAAGGTTTTGAAATTCTTACCCTATTTGCTATTTCTAAAAATGAAGTAAGTATCGTTTTGGCTTTATTGTGTCCTAAAAAAATAATGTTTTCAAAAAGATTTAAAATAAAGAAGAGTTGAGTATAGTATACGTATATTCATGAAGGAACATGGCATGAAGGAGGATCATTCTGGAAATATGATGCCATTAATTTCGTATATTTCCAAGTTTTACGCAGAAAAAGCCTCCAAATGACTCATTTCAGGGGGTATTTTCCTAGAGAAAATAGTCTCCACAGCCGTCGCCCACTTAAATATTCGGATATGTCGTGTAATATTATTTGAAAAATCACACCTCTCAAAATATTTGTGGGCGATGCATGTGGTCTACATTATCTGAAAGAAAATTTCACTGAAAATTTGTGTCTTCTGCAACTTTTTATGAAAATACAGGAAAATACACAAGTTTATGACGTCACAATTAGCATTTAGGAAAACATTTTGATTGGTTTTAGTGCATGGAGTTTCAAAAAGCATGAATTTTCATTACTTTCATATTTTAAAAAAATAAAGGGCCAGATTTTAATTAAAACTGTACCTTGTTCTTTGCAACAATGCTTTTAAAGTTTGATTTGAATTTAAACTAACATAATAATAATAAAATCCAACACCCTTTAATTATCAATTGTACATTTAAAATGAAAAAGCTTAAGATAAAGAAGAGTGAGCGATCTCAAAAAATCTACAAACGATACAAATCAGTGAACAGGGCATAAAATACGGACCCCCGGAAATTTCAGAGGTGGGATCTAGGAGGAGTAAGCATCCCCTGTTGACAGGTCATTCCCGCCGCGAGCCCTAAGTATTGATCAGGTTAACGGAACATTCCGTAGTCGAATTTAGTATAAAAACAAATGCTTCGAAATAATAATTATACGAAGAAGATTTTATGAAAAAAAATTCCTTATGCTTTCATTAACATAGGTTCGTCAATTTGAAACCCTCTTCTGGTATCTAGGGACACTATATGAATGAAAAATTCTTGCGAGGGACATAAAACGGCAAACAAGTAATCATCATATACTGCTGTAGGTAAGATTTAAGTTGGTTTAAAGAATGGTCCTTCATGCTAGAAGCTAGTTTCTTGTATACGGGGATACAAAGTTTAACATATATGCATAGGATTATCAGGGAAAGTATTTTTAAATACTTTACCGAAGAACGAAATTTTTAAACTAGCAAGATTCAGGCCAAATTAGACCATATGGTAGATTGCCAATACAGCCATAAGATATAATGATTATAATATCGGTTTTAAACTTCAGAGTTGTTTCATTAGCTAGACGCACACTTATAGGACAGTTGTTGGGAAAAATTCACTAATGCAACTTTAACATTTTTAACAAGCATGGTCTCTGATTATTATTACACTGTTTACTATTTTAACAATTATGGGCTGGAACAAGAAACATGCATCAAACACAATATAGTTGCTACTTAACATAGTCTAAAAAGATTTTATAATTATCAGATTTTGCGTTTATCGCATCGTGCGTGTATCTCTCCATATCGTACATCCTCACCTATCTTGCACCATGTCAAAAAATAAGTTGTGAAGAGTATTTCAGTAGATTTAAGATACGATGGCTTCATTGTATGTAAAGAAATAACAAAATTTTATTTTTTTTAACTATCTAACTAGAAACACAACCAGAGTATTATATTCTGGATGTTATTGGGACCGTTGGAACAATATGTCATGACTCCCTTGCTAGTGTAACAGTATACGTTACGGCTTACAAGAATGTCGAGCCCGATCACAGCTCAATAGGAAGCATTAAATATTGTTAGATATGGACTAAACGTGATACAATAAAGCAAATTGTTCCAAATTCTAAAATAATTGGTCAATTTGTACTTGTTCACTTTTTCATTCACAAAGAAAATAATGTAGTGGTAATAGCAAATTATTTATTTCATATTTTTTTTTTTATTTCAAAATAATTCTTAAGATCTTTAAATGGGGTTGAGAGATATTTGTTTTCGTTATTTCTTGTAATCACAGCAATATGCATTGTCGCTATAACTATCGTTTTAATAATCGCATGAACATCTGAAAAATTATTAAAAATTAAATAATAAAACATTAATTTAATTGTCCCCCGCTTTAGCAAAAGCGCGGGGACTTTAGACTCATTCATCTGTCTGTCTGTTTGTCTAGCTGTCTATCGTCTGACAGTTTGTCACAAAAAAATTAATCTTTGTTATAACTTTTGAATGAGAGAAGAAGGGAATAATATATTTCATATGATTACCTGTGCAAGACCTTTCCGAATGCATTATCATTATTTTGATCCCGTGACCTTGACCTTGAAGTTTGAAAATTTTTTTTGGGAAGTGACATTGGCCATAACTTTTGAATGAGAGAAGAAAGGGCTTTCATATATCAAATCTGCATTACCTGCGACAAGAAATTTTGGAATATAATGAAATATGAAGATAACGAACAGTATTCAATCTCGAAAGTCCAATGAAACAATTTGAAAGCAGAGCAAACACGGACCTCAAAATTAAGAGGTGGGAACAGGTGTCATGGAGGAGTGAGCATCCCCTGCCGACCGGTCACACCCGCCGTGTGCTCCTTGTCATGATCGGGTAATAACGGAGAAATCCGTAGATAGTTCAGTGTATAAATAATGACCTAACAATTAGTATGAAAAACGTCAACCAGCATTTGACTCCATGATAGGCTCCATGTGCTGACAAGGTCATTGTATCGACCGTAAAACTTGCAAAAAGATGACTTCAAACGAGACTGTTGATACCCTTTTGCTTCATCAACTTGTTTGTCAATAGCTTGCCTCGTTTTAGAAATTGTTCATACGTAGAACATGCTCTTGCGTATCGAATCAACTGAGAGACATAACCCCCATATCCAGGTGATAAGGGTATATTGCTACATAAGTAAGGGAAGTTGACGATTGAAAAGTTGAAGTCATCATGTTTATCATAAAGCTTTGTTGTTAGGTTACCATAAACGTCTTTTTCTAGTAAAATATCTAAATATGAAACAGATGTGTCAGAATCTGTGGTATCTTTTATTTCAAGCTCACTGGGATATATCGAGTCGACAAATGAATGAAAGTAACTATTGTCAATTGATAATACGTCATCGATATATCGAAATGTCGAGTAGAAAGCCACAGCAAGTGTTTTCTTCTTCTCGTGTAGAAGTTTTTGACTAAATTCTGCTTCATATGAATACAAAAATAGGTCTGCTAATAAGGGGGCGCAATTGGTTCCCATTGGAATTCCAACAGATTGTTGGAAGACCTAATCTCCAAAAACTTCATAGATATTGTCAATCAGAAACTCAAGCATCTTTTTAATATCAACTTCAGTGTACTTGCGTATACAATCAGAGTGCTTTTTAACAAAATAATTCTGTAAATGACCAATGAACAGGTAAGTATATTTACGAGTTTCATTTTTATTGAAAAAGCAGCTGTCTATGATGTCAAAAAGCCTGGACTTTTTACCTCGTGACTTTTTACCTCATGATCTAGACTTTAAAGCTATATTTTCAAAAACTTAATCTCAGCCGTAACTGTATTGTTTCCAAACTATAAAACATTTCTTTCGCAAGATGGAGAAATAAGCCAGGACAATCAAGATAGAACTTGACAATATGCAATAAATCATTGCACCCCACCAATAAGACTCCGAAAGCTGGGGACCACAATTCTCTGAATTATCTTGTATACGATAACAATATACGATAACGGTAGTATGTGTCAATGAAACTTCCTCTTACACAACTTTATTAATACGTCTTCTTCCTTTTTTAAAGATCGATCAAAAGAAACAAGTATGTTACAGGTAACATCCTTCTTAAAAAATATACCATCTTCAAAAAGTAAAATTGCTGTCTAGATAGGCCTACCTCTTAATGTAACCTACGTTCTTTATACTGAGTTTAT